CACATGGCGACTTCACAACGCTCAAGTGGGAAACATCCCCACCCAGTTTTGGCATTTGAGATTCGCATGAAACCCTACCGCGAATGCTGCTTCCGTGCTTTACATTCGGCATCTGTTGCTTCGCCTTTTCTTCGAGCGTCGCCCGAAAACCAGACACCCCATGTTATCCATGTCTGTATGATGATGTTGGACTGTTGCCATGACACCGAAACTGTAAACACCCATGGCAAGCGCAGGCGCTGCATCTACATCCGACAGTTTGCTTGCACTTGTTTTAAAGACACCCTCGTCGTGTTGCATCGAAGGCACGGACCATTGCTCGCTGACGAAATCCAGCAAGAACAGAAGCTGGAGACGCTCCAAAATCTGTCGTTCTTCAGTCATGGCGAACGTCATGAGAAGACTTCTTGCCATGGTGCAGGGTTGTTTGTAAGGAAAGAAGACTCGTTCTCGGGCGACGAGAAACCGCTGCCAAGCACAGAAACAACTTGAATGGAATACAACGTATGTTGCACTTGGAAGTTACGGAGAACCCATGCATGCACAACACGAAGATCATCCAAGCATTGTCGCTTGTAGGTTTGGCTCCCCACATCGCCTTTCAATGTTGCAAACAGGGTGCGCCCAGCGGGTCCGATGAATGTGAACTTACAATCGATCTCGGCAAGGCGATCGTTGACCCCTGGGCAAAACGTACGAAGTAGCAAGCATGAACATGCGAAGACAAACTTGCTCCAATAACAATGGATTGCGTCGCGGAACTTGGATGCTTTTGCAACTTTTGGTCGTCCCATCAGGTCAAATAGAAGCAGCGATCTCATCAACCTGCGGGTTCGTTTGCGCACAAGCTTCGTTGGACAGTCCAAGTCCATGAGCGCCCCTGCCAGCCGCGAGAAACAAGTTGCAAATTGTTGAGCTGCTGCTTCCCATCGTTCAGCGCGCTTGTGCATATGTATAAGACTATCGAAGAGCCGTGAGGAAACGGCAACACGATCAGCAGCACGGCTGCACAGTCGAGTCCCATCTGCTGCGTCGAACCATCTCCGGGCCGTTTGTCTGGTCAAAGCATAAAAATGTAGGCGGTCTAAAAGGGCGCTCGAGTAAGAATTTGTTTCATGGCGCAGAAACTGTTGCAAAGCTTCCACAACAGGAGATGTCTCTAAAGGTGGCAGTGGGCGCAGCAGAACTTCATCGACAAATGCAGGGTCACCAACATAGAAGCAAATCGTAACGAGGTGACCCCATACTTGCATGAGTCGAGCGGGAAAGGTGACCACTTCACAAGTGTCGGACACCCAGCCCCGTAGTCTGCGAAACAACTCGACTGACCACATCTCCCGACGAGATTGCTCGGGCTCCAAGCTTCCAAGCCTTTCTTTCATGTATACGTCCTCGTGCTTTGTCAAATCAGACATCTGGTCCAAATCCATCCATTGATCCCAGGCAGTGTCACTTGGCGATGGACGAAATCTCCCAACCCCACAGAACACCCAACGGACAAGGAAATAAAATAACGAATGCCAAGCAGGCATGAGCTCGTCTTGGACTCCAAGGCGGTAGCCCAACTCGCGGCTCTCTTGTGCGACACAGCCTGGAGCTAATTCTGCCACTTGAATATCGAAAAGAAAGTCTTACACTGTTTCGGTGTTGTTTCAATGTGCGTGGAGGTTTGATCTTGATGTACAGCGCTCACCCCACCACGAGCTAGTTGATATTGTAAAAAAAAAAGCACATCTGCGTGAGCGTTTGTAGTTGGTATATTCTCTGTGTGCTCACCTCACCGATCTTGATGGTAGTGGTGGTTGCCAATCTAGAGATACTTCAACACGTAGTCGTACCGCCGTCCCAACTCCCTAGCAAACGTCCACTCGCGCTTCCTTTTGGCGCCAGGCGCAAACCATCAACGGTCTGTGCAAGAGGGATGGCTCGAATGCTCTAGGATCGTAAGCTAAGTTCTAGCTTGCTAGCAGAATGTCGAGCTTGGGAGCTCGTTCTTGAGCAATGATGTTGGCGGTGCACTCAATAGGAAGACAGCTGGTCTGCAGCTTTCTGCGATGCAGGCAAGCTGTGTTACTGCTTCCGTAACTGTCTAAGAGTCAAAAAATTAGGCCGATTACGTCATTGCTCATAGCTCAATCACCATTCATGACGTGACACCAACGAATTGTATGAGGCATCGAGGACTGTTCGCACGGCCCATGAGCGAGACCTTCGGTCCTACTCACATAGGAAGAGAGTCGCGACAGAAATGAAAAGACTGCCTTACCCGCTTCAACTTCGTAATGTATGTGAATTCGAGCCGTGATATCCCTAATTAGAAATGTTGTGACACTTCGCTGCGTCAATGACGATCCCCTGAAAAAATGACATCGCAAGTCAAGATCAGACAGTCACCGAAGAACCGGCAATGTGATGAAGATCACATTCACGATGCCTGCGCCACAGTGTGGATAGAACCGATGGGGCGTGTGGAAGGAAGCTGCGTCACAGCGGTATTCACGATACCAACGTCGATAATAGCCTCGAACACGAACACTGAACACGTTCACGGTCTTCAGGGTCCTCGGTCTCCTTGCCTTTCCCCTTCGCATCGGCCCATTGTTCGAGCGTGGAAGAGGCCTTCTTGATTCAGGCTGTCCTCTGCCTGGAAGAGGTCCCTTCGGCTCAGGGGGCCTCATGCTGCTCGCTGCAGCTTCCGCCATGTACTGATCGCTGATTCCACGAACACCAAGTGCAAAGCATTCGGAGATTTCGACATGATCCTGGATGGCGTTGGCGTGTTTGGGCCGGTCCGTGGCCGACATTGCCTTCTGCAGTTTGTCGACGAACGCGGCAGGCAAATGGACATCATGTTGATGAGGATCTCGATGGTGTGCTCGGTCGTTTTCGCCGCGACGCTGTCAATTTGCAAAACTCCCACAGGGTCAATGTGTAGATAGTAGATACAAAACACAAACCTCAAAACGGGGTCACACTTTTTCGTCACTCTGAGCCTTTACGTCCGGCGTCACCAAGCTTGTCAAGGCTTTGCAAGTAAGCAGAAGAAAGGGGTTTAGGGCTCACGGAAAACGTTGTTACCCCCGTTGATGTATAGCTGGCGGTTGCAGCTATCAAACACACCAACATTTGAGATCGCTTTGATCCCAAAACACAACGTACCTAAGTACAAAAGGGCACTGCTCCACAACACTACCGAAAGATTCTTGGCTAGTCCAATGGTCCTCGGATCAAGACCAAAACAAACTCGAATCAGTAACGTATGCACAACATGCATGCTTAACATGTTTGCGCTTCAACCTCTACCCTCAATGTGGACACATTCCACTCGGCAACTGCTAAAGTTGCGCGCTGACGAAATTTAGCAAAAGTTGCAAAACTACTCTCACAACAAATGGACTTTACAAGCTCAGCGATTGCGATTACGACGATGACGTACAGCGCCATACTCCTTGATCGCATCTGCTACGGACTTCAAGCATCTTTGACACGGTTCATAGCCATCCATAAGAGCATCTCGGATTGACATGTTGCCAACAACTTTGGCATCGTTCTTGACAGAGCTGCAAGTGGGAACGTGAAAAGCATAGCCGAACCGCGATGCAACCAGAACTCGTTGATCTGCATAGCCTAGGTCGTTTGCGCGGCGCGTGTGGCACGCCCGAAGATCCAACTCGTCACGACGTTGATCTCCAGCACCGCGAGGTCCATCTCCACGACGATGTAGTTGAGGCCCATGACTCATGACGTAGTTCTCGATCGCCTGCTTGATGTGGTAGTTCTCGTCCGTCTCCACGGTGTAGTTCGTGATCGCTTGCGGCATGTAGTTCTTCTCGCTGACGTCCACGTTGTTGTTGATCTCGTTGATGTCCACGATGTTGTTCATCACCTTGATGTCCACGATGTCGCTGATCAACTGCCCTGCCGCTTGCGGCACGTAGTTCTTTTCGCTGACGTCCACGTTGTTGTTGATCTCGCTGATGTCCACGATGTTGTTGATCACCTTGATGTCTACGATGTCGCTGATCACCTTGATATTGTAGGGCACGTCGGTCTTCTCCATGATGTAGTTCTCGATCGCCTGCTTGATGTAGAGCTCCTCGTTGATGTACCCGATGTTGCCAATGTCGTGGGGATACGCGACGTGGTTCGTCTCCATGATGTCGATGTCCCCCCTCAGCTTGTCCTCGATCGTTTATGCAGCGGTGGCTCCAAAAGACTCGCTCGATGATGTGCCACCCAAGCCATGTACCGATTTGCCAAATCATCCCGAAGAAGAGTAGCAGCATAACCATCCACGACCAAACCGCCGCGTCGGACCATCTCATCTAACAAATACGGTCGCGAACTTTTCTTTCAGCAAAACGGCCTTGTAAGCGGAGTGTCTCACTGGTCTCACCAAAGCTGCGTATGCAATATTATTGCACACAGGTTAAGAGGCATGTTGGGTTACAGGAAGTTTAACACGCCCTCTTGGATTCGCACTAACTGTACAGTTTGCGAAGCCACACCATACAAGCAGCAGGAAAACTACCCAGCCAAAGCTATTCCAAAGGTCTTACATGACTGAGGTTGCGAGTGATGAAAAGCTACGTCACAAAAGAACGAAGCTGTACAAACAAAGCTACGCCAGTCTCAACTCAGGTAGTTGTTTGAGCTCAAAACTGGTGCAACTGTCAACGGTGTTTCTTCTTTGCCTTGAACATCCTGTCACTCGGATTTAGCTGCTTTAGTCGCTCGCAGATGTCATAGAGGCAACGATGGCACGGCGGGCGGAAGGCCACGCTCTACTGCTTGAGATAGGCTCATCTCTTGAGTTGTTTCGGCGTCCTTCGTGATGCTGCTGCAGTCCCTTCGATGACATGAGCGCCCGTAGTGAGGTGCAATGTGCACCCGCATGTTTTCATCAATGCCGTCCATGCGGTATCGCGGAGTATGGTTTTGAAGTATTGGCAACACTTCTTGTTCCATCCATTCATGCAACCGTCGCTGCGTGGAAGCATCTAACCCTGGATTGTTGTTGTCATCTCGGCTATGGCTTGCGCGAAGACCTTGTCCATGATGAAGCTGTTGATCTGGTACGCCGCATAGTTGTTCTGATTGTCCACGAAGAAGTCGTTGACCTTGTACGCCGTGTCGTTGATGTGGTAGTTCTCCGTCGCCTCGATGAAGTCGTTGGTGTTGTAGTTCTCCGTCACCTCGATGAAGTCGTTGATGTTGTAGCTCTCCGTCACCTCGATGAAGTCGCCGACCTGGTAGTTCACCGTCTCCATGATGAAGTCCTTGATGTTCTTCGCCGTCTCCATGATGAAATCCTTGATGTCGTTCGCCGTCTCCATGGTGAAGTCCTTGATGTTGTTCGCCGTCTCCATGGTGAAATCCTTGACGTTGCTCGCCGTGTCCACGGTGAAGTCCATCACTGTCTTGATGATCGAGATGACGTGGATTTCTTGTTGGACTTTGAACCCGATGTTGCCACAAGTCGATGTTGATGACGATAGTCGGCCACCGCCTGCACATACATGTCAGCAAAAGGAGCCTGAAGAAGCCGACCAGCAACCATATCCACATCCAAGGCTGATAACTTTCCCACGCTGACAAAGCCATCGTACTCTAAAGCTTGTTGTAGGAGTACTCCGGGATTCTTCTTGTAGAAGTCTGTCTTCTTGAGCTTCTGGCGTTGTTCGAATAAGCATCGCCGGAAAGTTTTCTTGGAATAGGCTGAATGTCGTGACTTTGAACATACGAGTCTGGTTTTCTTCTCCTTGGGGCTGTTGAGCTTGCATCCTTCGTCAGAGTTGAGGTCGATGTTGGCCGAGGCCTTGAGGAACCAAGGTGTTCCTGGTGCTGCTGTTCCTTGCCGTTCAGCATGAGGAGCATTATCATGAGAATCATGAGCGTCAGACCTACTGCCATCGCTACCTTTGTCCTCTGCTGGATTGACTCGGCCACTGATCTTACGCATGCTGAAACTGCCATCTCGGAGCTTAGACTGGATCCACAAAGCACTGGTTGCCAAGTGACGTGTCCGGCCAACTCCAGCCTTCTTGCATCCCATCGTTGCGCTCGCATCGGTCCGATGCACCAGCTCAACCTTCTTTCCAGCGACGAAGCTGACCACTTCTTTCAAGAACAGCCCTTCTGCTACCGCGGCTAGGCAAGGATACAACTCACCCTCCACCGAAGTCAAAGCGATCACTTGCTGCCTACGCGATGTGGAGTACACTGGAACGCCGTTCAGAAAAATGCAAGAGCCAGTCGTTGACGTACGATCAGCACACGAAGCAAAGTCTGCATCCGACACGGTTTCAAGCAAGTTCTCCTCAAACGCCGAATGCTCGCCAACGCCACTCTGCTCACTCAAGAATGAACGTCCCGGACATGTAGCTGGGAACCGAGTCTTATAATCCACTGTGCCCTTCAGGTACCTTGCCACATGTTTCAGGCACCGCAGATCCTGCTTGCAAGGCGCTGAGGCTTTTGAAGAAAGCCTTCGCGATGCATGCTGAAGTTCAGGCTTGTCTGGTAAGATATACAAAATGATCCCCACACAGGAACGAAACATGCTATGGTCGTCAGGTGAAAGTGGCTCGTCGTCGTCTGACCGGGGTGCCATGCCGGAGGGCCAAACTGTGGGTTTCGATGATGCTTTCTGTAGCCCTAGAATCTCAAGAATCTTCTGGACATACTTCGGCTCTTGCTTCTCACCAATGTAATCACCATGTCCCTCGTCGCCCTCTTCAAGAAGCGGCAACTACCCGAGCTCAAACAACACGGACCCTCAATCTTGTTTGCTTCAAGATGCTCTCGAAGCTTCTCCATCTCACCACGCGTCGCCAGAACCTTGCAATCATCCAAATGGGTGTTGAGGGCGAGTCGCCCAGGGATCGCAAAGATCGCCGGGGCCACTTCACAGACTTGCATGCCATGTGTTTGCAAAACAGCACTGAAGAATTCGTACCACACTTGAGCTCCATCTCTCTGGCCTGGTAGATTGAACAGGATCTTGTAGATCTTGCCATTCCCATCTCGGATGTACTTAGGAGTTCTTTGAGGCACCATTAAATATGCATCGGAAATGTCTAGGGAGTAGAGTCATCCGACGTTGCAGCCATCGCTGCAAGGAGCTTAGCGGTACTTGAGATGGAGGCTGGGCCACACAGATCATCAAGGTTTGGCGCCAAAGATCTGAACTCACGAGCCACGAGGCGGCTGCGCCTCGCGCATGTCTCATCGCGCCACCTCCAATCTCTCACGAATTTGGAGCTCAGCTCGGTTGTGTCAGCATCGGTCTCACTCTCGACAGCCACAAGCATACCCATGGACTGATTTCTGTCTAGCTCAAACTGATCCCTTTCAGCATCTAGCTGTGCCAACGCTGCCCCATCCAGGTCCAGAGGACCCGCTTCGTAGTTCATCAGCAGGCTTTCATCCAGCTCATCCATTACCTGATCCCAACGCTCTTCCGGAGAATCGTCTACTACTTGATCGTGCTCTTCCGAAAGATCAGGGAACTTCAATGGGCTCAGACGGGTCACACATGTGACAGCCTCTCGGATTGTCCGATGAACAACATGTCGCCTGCGCTCTGACACATGTCGAGCTTGACGCCCGGATCGGACGATCGGGGTCTTCGCGAACAGGGGCTGACTCCTCAAGTCAGATTCGGTACGAACCCTGGCGCGCTTCAATATCTCGTCGACGGCAGTCTGGCGCATCTGCGATCGCATAGTCGAAGCCTTCTCAGCTGGGGCAGCGGGCAGCAGTGCAGCCAGCAAAATGTCATGATAGAGTGAACGAAGAAGTGAGTACCTGGGGATCGCTGTCGAAAGAGATCCTGATCACTGACTTCAACATACTAAGCCAGATCGTGCCTCTCAGGCGCTGATCTCTCTGAAACAGGGTTGTTGGTCCTGACCTCATGTCGGATCTCAGCAAACCCGTGATCGGTAGTGTCTCTTCGATGCGACTAATTAAACAGTTCCGAGATTTGCAGTCCGAGACGCCAGCTCATCGTATTGTGAGTTGAGTTTCTTCTTGCGATCGTGAAATGCTTGAACTGGCGTTGGCAGTCTGCTCAACATCCATCCTCGAGATGCGGCCCTGAAGATCACAGGATGCTGCAAGCCATCTGGGCGCTGCTGTATGGTCTCTTGCAATCGAAACGATATCGAGTCTGCACCTCTCGCATTGAAGATTCGTCGATCGAACTTGCTGCGGCCGTCCTTCATGATCCTTTTCACATTCAATCAGAGTTTCACGATGGCGGATTCTCTGCTCTTGCGCAAGTTCGTAGTTCTGGCGATTCTCCTGTGACGCTTCGTCGATCTTGTAGCGCGTGGGCTTTCGGAGGTCATCGATGCGGTTTTCGAGAGGCTCGGTATAACATCGCAAACGAATCTCGACATCGGCCGGCGTGTCCGGACGCCTCGCTGATATCGGCAGCGACCCTCGCAATAGTGTCGGGGCTCATGGCCTCCCTGATGCGCACCCCAAGCACGTCAGTGGGAGCTGCTGCCGAAGGGTTGGTTGGTTTTGGTCGTATGAAAGGCGGCGCGAACCACTCCATCGCGGCGGCTGGCCGCGCGCGGCAAGGCATCCTGACTGACCTCGGCAAGCGTCAGGCGTGGCATGCGGGGGTGCGGGGGTGCGGCGGTAGCGCGGCAGGCAATCCGACATCGTCTCTCGCGGCGCTTCCTCACGCAGGTCCCAACAGGGCAGGCGGCGACAGGAGAACGGATGCGCATATCGGATAAGGGGAATCACCGTAGATTGACTACACAGCTAAATGCGAGAAGCTTAACAGCATGACAGGCGCACATGCAAATCACACCTGGACTTGCAGAACTTAGGGTTGACATCTTTCTTTGCGTGAGAGTTTGGTCTTGATGTTCGGTATAATGGCTCACCTCACCGAGCTTTATGTTGTGACGCGGCGCCCACGATTGGATAATGACTCACGCTCCCGAAGCAGTCACCCTCGGTCCACCTTTGCTTCTCGCACTGACGGTCGAGGCGCCACTACGCAAAGGGCAACACACCATGGCTGGCAACTAGATCACACGTGTACAAACGCTATGCCGTTTGCCTCAAGCTCTTTGAGCTTGTGGCCTTGAGCCAAACATTCGCCGGGGTCAACATTGGATAGATCATGTGGCTACGCAAGGGTACTCCACATGTCTCTCATACTCATCCATACGGTAGCACAAGGCTCGCCGTAGGCCAGATGAAAAGTTGCGCTAGGCTTCGAGGTCTCTTAACCCCCATGAGTGAAGCTTTGAGCTTTACCCAGACATAGGAAGAGAGTCGCGGGACCTGAAAAACAACATAAGACTCGACGGCGATCGTCTGTAGCATTGTGTGTTAAGATGCCCAATTAAAACTGCGTGAGACATAGCTACGTCGGCTGCGATCCCCTGTTTCAGTGAAATGAAAGGATGCATTCAGCGAAGAAATGTGCACGAAATGTGGTGCATTCTGCCATGTCCAGCCTTTGAAGAGGTAATCGGCGGCGTCGGCAATGTGCACATAGAAGCTCAATCGTGCCATCGATCATTGTAATCACGGTAGTAATCTCTGTCGGACTGTTGTCCTGAGGATGATCCCGCAGATCGACGACTGTAAGCGTTCTGATTGCGTCTCGACCGTTCTTGTTGTCGGTGTTGCGGAGGTGGCCCTCGGGGTTCCGGAGGACGCCGCGGTCGTGTATCGGTCCTGGCCCGGCCCGACCTTCTTCTTCGACGGCGTCGGCTTCTGCTTGAGTGACCGGTCTGTCCACTATGCCTCGTTGCCCTGCCTGCAAATAGCTGGCGGTGAAATGTTTGATGGCCGGGGCATTGTTGGACTGATGAGCTTGCTGTCTGCTGCGCGTGAGCTTGTTGAAGTAGGACGCCGGCAATTGAGTGTCCATGTCCACCATGACGGACAAGTGAGTTCGTGAGCAACGGTTAGGACAATGCATCATGGCAACACCGCAAGGGTCAATGCACAATACACGCCTATGTGTACGCTGATGCATCGGTTGTAGCAATGTGAAGAGGCTATAACCGGTGACCTTGCCGATGATCTTCGCAAGCAGTGTATGGCAGCTAGAGTGCATCTGTGGTGCAGTCTCATCTTGATCATCTCGCAAGTGAAGCCGAGGATTAAAGATTAAAGTGTTGCCTTTGGTAGCCGAGTTGTACGGCTCCCCGCATAAGCTTTGATACCAATTGGTGTGTTCGAAATCTTCTGAACGTATAGTGACCATCGGGATCTTCGTCGTCTTTGCGATGTCTTCCGTAGACAAGAATGCCCTCGTCCTGAACGTCACGTGAGATGCCTTTTTCGTCGTCGATCTCAGACAATACTCTCCCCATTCACCAAGAACATCATATGAACATCATATCGCTTGCCGTCTATGGCATTGGCCATAACTTCGAAGGCGTCGCATAGGAGTTGTTTATGCTGAGGATCACCGTCGCACCTGCTGTAGGTATGACGCGAACTTCCACACAAAACACGAAGATTCTGCGGGATGTCAGCGCTTGTCTCGAAAGATCCGTTGACGAGTAATCTCATTGCATCCCATGCTCTGGCCCTCGGGGGGGGGGGCACTTTGATCTTGGGTTGTATCAGTGATCTCTTCCTCAGGTTCTCCACGACCCATAGGTTCATCTTCTTGTGTAACCGAGGTGCATCCACGCCGTGCGAGGAATCATAATTTGCGTCTTCAACTTCATCAGTACCTGTGTTGTCTGCTCCCTCAAGGGGCTGCAGATCAATCGCTGATGATACGGCAAGGAATCGACCTTCGGGCAAGGCGGCGACAATCTCCAAGATGTCTCTTTCGATCGCTTCGTCTCGAGTTGGTGATTTCCTCTTGCTTGGGTTCCTTGACGTGATCAGCTTGATGCTCTCCTTGGCAGAGTATCTGTAGAAGCAGTGTTCAAGCGCAGCGATGCACGCGTTGATGTCCTGGAGCGCCCCCCACTTCGGGAACACGTCTGGGTAGCGTAATATGAATTTCAGTAATCCTAGAGACAATTCGTATACGTCTCAACTCCATTCTGTCATCTGACGTCAACAGAGTTTTCATGAACCCGGCATATGCCGCAGTTCCAGCATCATAGCACGCGATGAAGCAGAGGTTGTTCTGGGAATCGTAAGCACGATCCCAGGATAGCTGGTTTGCATGTCCCCATGTAGAGTAGGCAAGTGCGGTTGCTGGAGGGCATCCAAGGCCTCCTCCATAGGCTGAAACCACTTTCCAATTAAACAGTACAACTCTAAGCGGTCACACTTTTCTCTTGAACCACAAAAGGCGCTGCGTCGTAGCCATGCGTTTCATGGGCTTCAACAAAGGTGTGGGATACTATACAAAGCTATACAGGTTCCTATCTATAAATCT